CATTTTTGCTAAAATTTTACGGATAAATTTTTTCCGTTTAATTTTCTTTTTTGAGTTCTGTTTCTTATCATATAGTATCGTCTCGAGTGCTTAGAATTGGTTTCTAAGACTTTTTCGTGCGAATTGACAACTTCCTTTGAAAACCGAATCATTTCCGCATTTTCACTTTTTAGACACTATTCACCTTTCGTCTTTTTCCCTATTCTGTCTTTTCTCCGTTTGTCAGTTTTTGGCACAACCTCACTTTTCATGCTCGGAGTTGGTTTTTAACTTCACGTGTCTTCATCTTCAGTGGTTCCTCAAAATATGTATATTTACTTTTGCAAGAAAGTACTCTAGTTGCCCCCGGTGTCTATAGGGGCATGGATGCACAATTCTTCAGAATCTTTTTCTTTTCTTAGTGTGTTTTTCGTAAATATATTTTGAAGATATTTTATTTCAGGAGTATTTAAGAAAATATCTTTTGGAAAATATCTTCATTCTAAGGCAGTTTTGAAGTTAACCCTTTTTGTAGGGAACATTATGCAATTAACAAAAGTTATTACAAAATACCTCGTCTAGAGCCTGGATCCTTGTACGGGATTCATTTTCACATTTCGTCGAGTCGTGTACTCTTAGAATTTCCTTCTGGTCATTTTTCTCCAGTTTCAGGGTTTTTGACCCTAGTTGCTGCCGAACTTGTTCGGGGCATAACTCTCTGTTCGGGACTCAATTTTTGACGTTGTTTCTTCTGTTGTTCATATTTTTTTATTTTAAATCTTTTTCATTTACGACCGTTTGAGCGTGTCTGCTCAAATTTCACTTTTTCGGACCCGGCAGGGCCCGTTCGGGGCACTTTTTTGAGATTTTCTATAAATAGGAGGTTAAAGCCATCTTCTCCTTTCACCAAGGACGACCAGAAGCATCCATAGCTGCCTAAGGGGGCTGCCACCCTTCTCCTCTCAAGTAAACCTCCTTCCCTTTGTTAAAAAGTCATAGTACCTTCATGTTTTGTACTTGTCTCGACGACGCACATCTTTCACCCTTATTAGAACTCGTTTCGGGCCAAATTTTAAGTTCAGGTCTGAATTCAAGTTGTGATTTTCATGGGACTTCTTGGGTATTCTTGTTCATCATGTTGTCCCCGTCAAAACCCTTCGGTATCGTCGGATTCAAAGCACTTTTCTTTCGGTGGGGATTTGAGATTTTCATCTCAAATTGAGGTAGGGAGTGTTATAATTTCATTTTCTTGTTATATAGCATGCTATGGATGCTTATACAACTTGTTTACATACTTGGATAATAAATCTAGAGATTTTATTATTTATTTTTCTTGTGAAGGATTTAATTTTCCCAGTTGCTCGTAACTTGGTTTAAATATGTGGCATGATAGAATATTACTCCTTGACATGTTCATTGACATATATTAAATTTAGAGCATTTGGACAAGTATTAAAGATTTTATTTAATAATTATCTTGAATAAAAAATTAATTCATATGGCCTTAACTAACTTGAAATCATTATGTGTTAACATATTATATTAGGCCCTAGCATGCTCTTCAACATAGGTGAATCCAAGAGTAATCGGAGATGTTTTAAAATCTAAAGAATATTTAATTAATTGATTAATTAATTTATTCCAAGTGTACTATTCACTCCATTAGAATTCCGATTTGATATTCTTAATATGCATGCCACATAGTTTCACATATATTTAATCTAGAATGTTTAAGTTTTGAAACCTTTCATTTATTATTTTTCTAGTATTAAGATTTAATACTCATGGCCGTATCTTGCATGAAATATACTTGTATCATGTTCTTAAATCAAGTTATGATATGTTTAACAACATATATTAAATTGAGGTCATTTGGATGAGTTTCAAAATCTAGAGATTTTTATTAAAAGAATTAATTAAAATCCATTCAATGGTTCTATGAGCATGTTTAAGTCACTATCTTGGTATTCATGATTTCCTTGACATATTCCTTCGTGTGTATTAAATTGAGAATAATCGGATAAGTTTGAGACTTGCAATTACCTGTTTTTCTTGTATGGAACTTAGTTCACTTAGTTGTAACTTGTATTCCATGGAACTTTTAGCTTTTCATTATATAACTAGAACCCGTATATCTTGGCTTCATTAATGTACTTAATGAACTTGCATCATTGTCTTGGGATGATTTAATTACTCATGTGTTGCTTAGTAAGTAGTTGAATCATGTATCTTATACTTGTGGTATATTTACTTCAATGGATTTCTTGCGCTACATATCTTAGTTCTAATCTATATAGATGCATACTATGATTTCTTGACATTTCACATGCCATCATAGTTGAGAACTTAGGGTATGGCTTGTGTGTTCCAAAATCTTGGTTGTGCATGAAACGTTGTTAATGCATTTCTTGTATTTTAATATAATCTTGACTTGCACAACTTGTTGATTTTGGAACTTGGGATATCAATCAAGAATTAACATAGCTAAAACTTGGTTCTAGTACGGGGGATTGTCCCTTTAAACTATAGTGCACACTAGAGGAAGGTACCCATGGGTTAGTAGCCCTAAAGTGATCTCAATAGTACGATTTTAATCCAGACGATATCCAAGTTTTCACATTAGTTGATTTCACTCCTTAAATTTCAAGTTGCTATTCCTTAAAGATTTAAACTTGTCGTGTATGTGAAATACTCCGATCATGTTTCATTACATAGATTTTATGGTTCATTCATGATTTTACTCCTTAAATTTTAAGTGTTGCATTCATTGAAGATTTAAAACTCTTTTCGTGTTATATGGAGTATTCTATCATTGTTTAAATGCATAGATATTATGCCTTATTCTTGATCTCATGCATAACTCTTTTCGTGTTTCATGGAATGTTCCATCCTTGTTTAGTTGCATAGATATTATGCTTTGTCATTGATTTCTTATATTACTTTTATCATGTTAATTGGAATGCTCTAATCTTGTTAATTGTATAGATATTATGCCTTGTTCTTGATATCATGTATTACTCTCAATTATGTAAATTACATTTGATAATGTGATCCTAGTATTCTAGTATTAGTCTTAATCATGTTCTTGGATTATCCTAACTTGACTTGTTTCATATATGTATATATATCATGATTCTTGTTACTTATACTCTAAGGTAGCTTATGATGCTCCCTGAGTCTTATCTTGACATAGACGTTAGGTGGCATGACCCTTTTGAACTGTATCATGTTAGTCTAAAAATCTGAAAGAAATCGAGTCATGCATGCTCATTCTCTACGAGTAAACTTGTTTACTCACCCCGAAGTTACTGGGGGTTTTGATCAGGTACGAAAACTTGGTTCGTGATTCTTATCATGCTTGGATGATTTGTAGACTTGAAAATTTCAATTCTTGTAAACGTCGACTTGAAATGCCATTTGTAGCCATTTTGTCAAATGTGTATATTTGATTCCAAACTTGTATTATGTGCTTAAGCACACTTTTTGGTATTCATTCTATGTATATGATATGTGGCCAAGGGCCAAACTTCATTTGTAATCCATATATATTAAAAAATGTAAAATTTTGCCTTTAATGAGAAAAACATGAAAACTTGGGTTTCAATATGTCATTTTCATACCGGTGTGTGCATTGTGTATGTAATTCATCCTTTAGCATTCATTTACCATATGTGAGGTATGGCGAAGGGCCAAACACCAGTTAGTTTTCATTTTTGCATTTTAGTTCACATATTGAATTTTTGGGCTAAAATAGTAGAAATCGAGCATTTAAGAGTTCATTTTCAAATCGGGTGATGTAAAGTGTGTTTCGGCACCTCTACTATGTCTCATTAATATCGTATGAAGTGTGACCAAGAGCCAAACGGTCATTTGAAAGCATTTTATAATTTTAGTTTTCAAATTACCCTTTTCTTGGTACCGGAAATCCCTCATGAAGTTTCAGTTTCCAGTTTTCATTTCAGCAGCTTTTTAGCTCTCTTGACCAGATTTCTTGGGAGGGCATTTTGACCATTTTGCAACGAGTTTTTTTCATTTTCTCTCACGCATTCTGAGTAGAAAATTTGATTTCGGAAGGAGTTTTTTCTTTTGCGTTTTTCCAGAAAAATTCATTTGATAGCCCGTTTCAGCTCTCAGATTAGGACAATCACTGTAGCAACTTTTGCCCTCTTGTCCAGTTCTGATCTAGGGGGATTTTAGGAATTTTTCAGTTAGTTTTTTTTTTATTTCCTTTCGGTTAGTCGGGTAGAAAACTCGATTTTAGGGGGAGTTTTTTCTTCGTGTTTTTCCAGAAAAATTCATTTCGGCCTCCATTTCAAGCCTCAGTTCTGGAGACTCATTTTTCTTTCTTGCTATCAACATGTGCATGCCATTGGGTGCCGGTGGCTCGTGCGTGTGCGCCGTGTGCGCCATGGCCTTCGTCGGGCTACCGCGACGTCTCAACTTCAAACCCTTGTTTCTCCCTTGTCCGGACGCCAAATCGAGTGAACTTTTTTTTTAACTTGACTAATTTTTTGCTATCTTTCCAACGATGTGCTCAGCTGCACCCAATTCTTCCTGGATAATTACCAGTTTACCCTTTTAGCCTTAAGTGCTCATTTTTCTTCGTTATGCCGTTTCTCCTTTGTCCGGACTCCGAATCATGCGATTCTTGTGTCCATCTTGATTATTTTTTTGTTATCTTTCCAGCGGTGTGCTCTATGGCACTCGAATCCACAGTTTTCAGAAATGACTATTTTGCCCCTAGGGGCTTATTTGTCATATTTCCGATCTTTTACTTCCGCGTCAATTTTTTTTGAGTTTCGTGCCCTCATGGAAGGTCACATTAGGGTCTTAGAGGTGTGTTGTGCCTTGAAAGACCATTTTCTTGTTTCTTACTTCCGCATCTGGATCCGTTATCAGGTCAACTTTCGGGTCACCATTGACGCACCGGGTTGAATAAAACCTGGATCGTTACAACTGCATCTCAAAATATTTTTAATTTTTTAGTTTTTGAAATAAAATAAAGAAAGAAAATGACCAGGCGTTGTCATTTTGACCTATTTGTGTATATGTGTACTTACCTAACTCATAATCTGTGGTTTCTCTTTAGAACACAGTCGATACTCACGTCTCTCTCTCTACATTCACTTTGTATTCCACTATACACCTCTTTTTCTCTCTACCATCACCCTTTCCTCATACTACACAAGATACCTCCCTCTCTTCAATCATTTTTCCCCCAATCTCAACAGATTGTCTAGGTATGTGTTCTTCTTCACGCACTGAGGTTTTTATTTATTTATTATTTTTTAAAGCTCAATCATATCCATCAAATATGATCGTCTGATTTGATCCGTTTGTTTTAGGGTAAACTTCAGGGGATGAAGTTTGGGAGAAGACTTTTCGACCAATTCTCACAGGCTTTCGTCGTTTTCCTATAGGATTCGCCATGAAAAGAGGCAGGTCGAAGGCTGAAACGAAAAAAACTGATAGCAAGTGAGTTTTTATTTTCATTCATTTTGGTGATCTGTTAAAGCTATGGTGCTACAAATCTGTGATATATATATATATATATATATATATAGATATAGATATGTATGTATTCTATGTATGTGTGTATATATCTAACGGCGTGCCAGTGGGAATCGACGATGAAGGCTGATTGCGCTTCGTATTTTTCTGGACTTATTGTTAGGTTGTCGGTGAAGAAAAGAGGAGCACTGAGCGAATAAGCCGGCAAAAAGCCAGCCAATAAGGGTAGGCCGCAAAAGATCCCAACAAGCCCAAGAGGCCTACGAGTGCCTTCTTCGTTTTCATGTATATATCATTTCTGTATATATTTTCTGAGATCTATGTTTTAATATTACATCAAAATTGTTTCATTCAATCTATTCGTAGTTTATAATCGATTATTTGGCATTTTAAAAAATGTTTTCTTTCAGTTTTGGTGAATTTAGGAAGAGGAGAAGCACCTTAACAACAAATTTGTCTCAGTTGTATGTATTTGTCATCTCTTCAGATCTACAAATTTAATTTAATTCAATTTTGTTGAGTTTAATGTTTTGAATCAGTTTTTTTTTTTTTTTCTTCCCTTTTTCTTTTTGTAATTGTTGTTATGATTATGCATTATTTTCTGTGATTAGGTTGGTAAAGTTGGTGGAGATAAATGGAAATTCATGTCGGAAGCTGAGTAAATTATCTGAAAAAATAGTTCTAATTTCTGGTTCAGATTTATTGGTTAGAGCTGAAGATAACATTTTTATCTTCTTTTTTTTCCCTTTAATTTATTCCACTTTGATTCATGGGTGCATACATGATCTAGTTGCCTTATCTATTTTGATATGGGCTTCATTTCTCTCTTTATTGTATCAAATGAGTTCACCCTAGGTCCCTAACAACTTGGTTGGGGCCTTTAATCTTGGGTTGGAATTCAAAATTTAAAGATTAATGTAATTAGCTGGTAGAAAAATAGTGTATTGAAGATATTGACCAATAAGAGAAAAATTATATAGTATTAATTTTTAAGCTTACACAGAGCTAGAGTACTATGTTTAAGCCTCTTACACATAGCTAGAGTACTATGTTTAAGCCTTACCCTATAGGTCAACACAAATTAATGCTTGTTTCCAATTTTATATTAAAATACAATGAATGAAAAGCAAACACCATCCATAACTATTTTTCGACCTCTATTTATGCACAATAATATATAAAAAAAAAATGGTCACTTAAGGCACGTAACCCCCTATACACCGCAAAATTGGTCACTTAAAGGCACGAATGCAAGATGTAATTATAAGTACTCCATGTTGAAAGGACATTAGAAGTATTCCAGCTTAAAAACTCATGAATGTAAGATGTAATTATAAGAAAAATAATAAAGAAGAATATAAAATAGTATAGAATGAAGTCATATATGAATCCCTCACCAGTTCCTGACGAAGCCTGTTACTTTGTTGAATTGCAGTAGCCTTCTCCTCCATCAAGAATTGAAATCAGAGATCTTCCCTGAAATTAAACCAGAAGTTCTGTTTTAGGCAGATTAACATAAGCTACTAAAAGTTCATACACAAGCTACTAATAGCAATTGCAGTGGAACTCCAAGCATATGGACCCTGACAGAAATCCAACTTAGCTTCAAGTTGGATTTGAGCAAAATACTGGCTCAATATGTAAAGAATGTAGGAAGATATATATATATATATATATATATTGGTCGAAAGGCATAAAGGAAGAAATATACAATAACACACAATCAATCAGTTAAAATTTAAATTTCTGATATGTTTAATAAGCAGCAACAATTAATGGATAAAAATTTAATCCAAATAATAATAATGTAAGTTATTCTTTTAAGAGACGGAACACAAAATCTTCTTTATTTATTTATTTAAATATGAAATATGTATGTCTGAATGTATATACAATAGCAAAATTGCGACAAAATTAAACCAAAAGTACTTAAATATGAAATATGTATGTCTGAATGTATATACAATAGCACAGTTACAACAAAATAAAAGCAAAAGTAATTAAATATGAAATCAATATAGAGCACATCAAAATTTAACCACAAATTGACCTTTTCATTGCAAGATCAGTTTAGACTGAGAAGGCGGCTTTAATCACTCATTAAAAACATTCATCCATTCAACATAAATATATCCCTTTTAATAGATGGGAAAAGAAAATCAAAAAAATAAAACACAAGTAATTAAATATGAAATATGGATGTCGGTATGTATATACAATAGCACAGTTGCAACAAAATGAAAGCAAAAGTAATTAAATATCAAATCAAGATAGAGCACATCAAAATTAATCTAGAAATTAACCTTGTCATTGCAAGATCAACTTAACTAAGAAAATAGTTGAATCACATACACACGCGCGCGCGCACATACATACACCCCCCCCCCCCCCCCCCCCCCCCCCAACACACACACATATCCAAAAAAGCAAACACATTAATTGATGGATAAGCAGACAGAAATTTCGAAAAAGGAACCAATTAAATCAAAGGATTAATTGATAGAATTATAAACCCAAAACCCCTAATATATATATATATATCAAAGAGGGATGTATCAAATTGTACTTGCATGTTCCAGCACCACCATATACCTCAAAAAACAATATACACAAACCTAGACTCTAATGCAGCAACCCACAAATATCCCAGACCAAATGAATCTCTTTCCTCTCTCTCTGCAATTCCATAAGAATCTTAAAAACAAGTCCATCAAATAAAAAGAAATATGTACGTTAATTTTCTTCGTGACGAAATTCACAATAATATAACAAAATAGGAAATTTTGGGTTGATAACAAACCAATTCTGGACCACTTTTGCATATAAATATTGATTGGAATGAGACCAAAAATTCAGAAGATAGAAAATCTTACCTAATTTGCGATTCTGTTTCACTTATCAGTCAGTTAACATGTGATATTTTCCTACAGTTAGGTGATGTAGTATTGTGTTGAGAGAGAGAGAGCGCGCACCCTAGGCCTGTTGAGGTGTGTAGGGCTGGGACGAATGGTGGTGGCAATTCTGGACTTCTCCTCCGATGTCGGCAATGCCGATGCGCACAGAAAATGATACACATATACATACATATATATAAACACACTCAAACCCCCACACCCACATGACCCACCGCTTTGCCCACCAAAAAGCTATAGCCTTGGTGGAAAAAACAACTTTTCTTAACAATGGAAATGAACATACCCATCACTTCCACCACATCCTTCTCTCTTTCCTCCGAAATCCATTTCTTCGAAACCCTTTCCTAGTAGGCATCCTCTTCAAATTGAAATCCCTAACCTGTTAGTAGGCATCCTTTTCAAAAATTGAACTCCTTTGGCCCAACTCTAACATCAAAATCGAATAAATGAGTCATGTATTCATCAAATGAAAAAAAAAAAAAAAAAATCAGGAATCAATTAATTAACAAATCAATACACAAAAACACACAGCGGCTATTGAGAGACAGCGGCTGTTGAGAGACAGCGGCTAAAACTTGCGACCGGCGAACTCGAACTGGAACAACGGGCGATGGAAACTGAAAGATATGGGTTTTAATTTTTTGAACAATCTGGCATATTAGATATGGGTTTTGATTAGGAAATAGATTTTGAACTTTTGATTCTTGCAGACAGATAGATAAACTGAAATATATGGGTTTTGAACTTCTAATTTTTGTAGATTGGGGGGGGGGGGGGGGGGGGGGGGGAGGGCAAGTTCAAAGTTGAGAAAAGAGAATAGAGATGGAGGCGATTGGGGAGTTGCAGAGAGAGGGAGCGGGCAAGTTCAGAGTTGAGAAAAGAGAATAGAGATGAAGGCGAATGGGGAGTTGCAGAGAGAGAGAAAGGGGGGAGGGGGCAAGTTCAGAGTTGAGAACGAGAATAAAGATGGAGGCGATTAGGGAGTTGCAGAGAGAGAGAGGGGGCCAGTTCAGAGTTGAGACTGAGAATAGAGATAGAGGCAATTAGGGAGGCTGAAGAGAAACCTAGGGCTCGGATGAGATTGGTTAAGTTAGAAACAAAATAATAAAATGAAATAATATTAGTGCCAAATTTTGGCGCACTAAATTTCGCACAAATTTTGGCGCTCTAAATTCTGTACTTAGGTTAGGCTAAAGGTAATTAGTACACAACACCAACAGTCTTTAAAAGAACGCTGGTGAAGAGCATAATTGTTGTAGTGTGATCAATTAGAGATAACTTTACTCAATAATCGATGATGGAGGAGTTGGCATGACTTGCTATAAAATTGTAATTAATTAATATATATATTTGTAAAGAACATTTGAAAAGTTTAATTAATAGCTATTACTCATAAATGTATTTATAGAGAAGGTCACATTTAAAATTTTTAATTATTAATTATATAATGTATTCAATTAATATATAAAATATGTTTTAACTTTGGCCATTATATGAAAAATAAGAAAACAAAATTCAAAATTTATCTAAAGTAAAAACATTTTGTTAGAAAAGTTTTAAATATTTAAATTTCATTCAAAAAAACAAATTTTTTAGTTTAAGACATTAAATTCCATGACACAAATAGTTTTGTTTTTTAAATAAAGATTCTTTAACAATGCTTTGTTTGGTAAAAAAGAAAAAAATTGGCATATTGACACTTGAACAACGGGCGATCAACGATGGAAAAGAAGTTGCAGAGACTAGAGACAATTTGATATAGTGATATGCGGCATATGCTGATATGGGTTTTGAACTTTTGATTCTTGCAGTTGCAGAGGCTAAAGAGAGATATAGAGAAAGATATGCATGTTTGGCTTGTAACTTTGAAAACAATTCTAAAAAATTTAGAGAACAGAAAACTGTTTTTAGAGAACTTTAAAAGACAATTATTTGAAAACAGGCCTTCTATACCTGAGTTTTCAAAAAACGGTTCTCAGAATACTTAATCGAGCAGAATTTTTTGTACAATTTTTTATTTTCAATATTCTAAAGTAGAGTTTTTTGTACAGTTTTCTATATTCAATTTTCTGAAAATAGAAAATTGTTCCCAGAATTACAAACCAAGAAGACCCATAGAGCTAGCTTGATTTGTAATTCTGAAAACAGTTCTCAATAATTTAGAGAACAATAAAAGACAGTATCTTTACGATTTCACAAATTTAGAACTATGACTATGACCGAACCAAACCATTAGCTGTGACACCCCCTAATTTCAGAACACAGGTTGGTCAAGTCTGCACACAAAACTAGGGGATATCAAGACAATTAAAGTATTTCAAACAAGCGCATAGTACAAAAAGAAAATAAAAAGAATAAATAACTCGCTGAAGGAAAATCTATTAAATAATAAATTCATTAATAATTCTACAACTCGGGAATCCCATAACTCAAGGACCCTTTAACCAAAATCCACTATCCAGAAATTCATCAATACATACTGAAGTAATAATATCCTACTTTGAAATAAAATAGAAAGACAGGATAAGTCCTCCAGCTGCGGATTCTCAACTTTGAAACTTGAAACTTCTAATAACTTGAAAAACAAATCGCGGGTTAAACCTTACGAGCAAACTCTCTTTACCAAGTTTCTGAAAACCAATAAACAAATTATCTCTCACCAAAACCAATCCTATTAAAATTTTTATCTTTAATAAACAATGATGCACATATATATAAATAATTATATATAATATACTAATCACATCCATTAATAGGTTAATTAAATTTAAAATCATTAAATAATGATTAAATTAATAATCATTCTTAAACCAATCCACAATTTCTTTTAAAGAGAAATTTCTTTAACCTTAATTCAATCCTAAACAATTATTAAACCACTTAAATAATAAAATATAATTAAGGGAATAATATATTTAATCTAATTCCTAATAATAATTGTAATTATTTAAATCACGTATCCAATATCCAAGTTTTGACAAATCATTCGTGTCTGCACCAAATTATAAAATAAAATAATATAAAATAAAATAATATACTAACCTTTAAATACTAAATTATTCTAATATAAGAATATCTAATCCTAATCTAACTTACACATTCAATAAGCATAAATAAAATTTTAATCATCTAACACACAACAATTTAATTACGCTTTGGCAAATAAACCATTCCATTATAAACATATTTATTTATATATTGATAATTCAACCATACCTCCACAAGTATATTTATTTATACATTTGGCAAATCAATTATGCCATTACAAATATATTTATTTATATATTGACAACTCAACCATGCCTCCTTTAAGTATATATATTTATACTTTTAAATTAACAATCCAGCCATGCTTCCTATGTATGTACTTTCTTCGTGCAAATACTTAAACAATATATTTACGCCTATGACAACTCATCCATACCTACAACTACCATTAAAAAAAAAAAAAAAATCTATAACTACCATTTTATAAAATGATTAACTTATTATTAGAATATTGGAGCATTTTTGACAATAGGTGGTATTAGGCACAAAATATAATTCAAGAGGGTTATTTGCAAATTCAAACATAGTTCAAGGAGTTTTTTTGCACTTTACCATATATTTATATATATACACACACTTTTATATATTAAAAACATACCTTATGATAAGTTTTAATTTTTCTTATTATTTCCCAAACGAATATATGGTGACAGAAGACTAATTTGTGTCAAGAATTTACTCTTTTATAATGAAATATACTTTGTCGCTAAAAGATAGAAATTGGCGACAAATAATTTGTTACTAAAAATCTATCAATAGCGATAAAGACAATTTTTGTCACTAGAGTGTAGTTTTTTTAGGCAAAAATTCATCGTCACTAAATGATAATTATTAGTGACAATATGTTGTCACTAAAAGTTTGTTAATTGTGACAAAGTGAGTTTTGTTACAATAACTCAATCTTTTGTGACAATGCATCATTTGTCACTAGAAGGTTGTTTGTAGCGACTACAATTTTTGTCGTTAAAATGCCATCAATTGTGACAAAGCTATATTTATCAAAATAACTCAATCTTTTGCGACACTAGAAGATTGTTGTTAGTGACAACAATTTTTGTCGTTAAAATGCCATTAATTGTGACAAAGCTATATTTATCACAATAATTCAATCTTTTGTGACAATGCATCATTTGTCGCTAGAAGGTTGTTTGTAGCGACAATAATTTTTGTCGTTAAAATGCCATCAATTGTGATAAAGCTATATTTATCACAATAACTCAATCTTTTGCGATAATGCATCATTTGTCGCTATAAGGTTGTATGTAGCAACAACAATTTTTGTCGTTAAAATGCCATCAATTGTGACAAAGCTATATTTGTCACAATAACTCAATCTTTGCATCATTTGTCACTAGAAGGTTATTTGTAGTGACAACAATTTTTATTGTTAAAATGCCATCAATTGTGACAAAGCTATATTTGTCACTAAAATCTAGTTAATCGCGATAAAGCTATATTTGTCACTATATTGTAATTAGTTGCGACAACATATTTGTCACTAAAATCAATTTTGTTGCCATACCCTTTTCCGCCATATGGTCGGGTGTGAGGAAATTCCCGGGGTAGATATTGCGACAACTTTTTGTGATAAATTTGATTTTTGTCGAGTAAAGTTAGCTTAAGGCGACAAAGTTACTTTTTGTCACAAAAGGTTATTTAATTGCGACATATTCATCTTGTCGCTATAGTTTTTGTCGCCAAAGACCAAATTTGTTGTAGTGAATACCCACGTCCGGGAATAAAGCCAAAAAATGGCTCCATATAATTATCTAAACAGAGCCTATAAATAGAGCATGAATGAGAATGAAAAGGAATCGAATTCCCAATATTGCTACTCTCTTTGAAAATTATTTGTCTCCTTATTTAGTTCTTATGTATCTTCCCTGATTTATTTCTTAAAGTGCTCGGGTGTGAGAAATTGCACCTATACTTTGGCGCCGTCTGTGGGAATTCGATATGAAAAATCCATTCTTTACCGCTTACATACAACATTGCTCTGGAATGGCGACAGGATCAGATGCCGCACAACCATGACAACAAGAAATCATGCAAAAAATACATAAAGAGATACAAGTACAACTTGACATCTTTCGACAAGCCAATGAGGCCAGTATAGAGCAGATCAACGAGCTGAGACAAACTCAAGAAGCCAACGTAGTGCAAATTAACGCTCTGCGTGAAGAAAATGGGAGACTTCGAGGTGACACTCGGTGGAACGATCCACTGAACGACCCTCAGCCAGAACAACAGAATGAAAATCCCCCTTTGGAGCTAGATCTTGATGACCGTCCTCTCCAGCAGAGGGTTCCACGGCAACAACTTAACAGAACATTGGACGATGCCAACGATACAGCAATCCAATCCCACATCCTAGGGAACTCCAGTATGAGAGGACCTCGAACCACCAGGGCCTATCCATCAGATAATGCTGATTCAAGTAGGAGAGAAGCGTGGATCCCAGTAGCTGACCAACCATCTTCAGGGAATGACTTCATCGCTAGGCTCCGAAAAGAAATGGACAAACGAATCAAAAAGCTGAAAGCCCAAACACCCGAAGACATAGTGAGGGAATTCACTACATTAATAATGAAAAATCCTTTCATAGATGAGATAAAACGGGTGGCAAGACCCAAGAAATTCACCATGCCAAAATTCACCAAATTTAATGGAATCGGAGATCCTCTCCAGCACCTAAACCATTACACTCAGGAAATGATATTGGAGGCGCACAACGATCCATTCATATGCAAAATATTCCCATCCAGTCTGACTGGGGTGGCCCTTAAGTGGTTCAAAAATTGCCCATGTAAGTCAATCCCAAACTTTAAATCATTGTGCATCACATTTCTTGCCCAGTACTGCGGAAACAAGAAGCAAAAAAAAATCATTGCCAGTCTCTTCACAATTCGGCAAATGAAAGGAGAGGGCCTGTAAGCCTTCCTCACTCGGTTCAACATGGAATCCTCTGGCATTTCAGACTGCAATCAAGATACAGCTATAGAAGCATTCAAGATAGCCATGGTGCAGGGCTCACGTTTTCACTTTTCTCTAGTAAAGAAAACTCCGACTAACATGTCATAATTGAATTCATAAGCATAAAACTATATCAGACTCGAAGAAAAAGAGGTAACCAGGC